AAAAAAAAAAACAACCCATAATATTATTGCTTTGATCAGTAAAATAAACTTTTAAAGATTGGTTCTGGGACAGGCTCCAGGGTCTGAGGTAAAGGATGGCTGACGTTCAGGCATGATTCAGTAACCCAAGGATTGGAGCAATTAATTTGTCAGCTTTGGGAGGATGGGGGAGAGGCAGGTTCTGCTCTTGAGATGGAGGGGGTTGTTTATCCTGGAACTGAGGGCGACTGGACGGAGATAAGAGGGAAGGACGGTCTGTTTGGAAGAGCCACAAGCGCTCATAAATCTCTCCTATTCTGGGTTTTTTTTTTCCCTTTGTTTGTCTTCTTCCCCAACCTCCATGACTCCGTTTCTGCTGGATGTTGAAGCTGGAGGGTCATAAGTTGGGGACGTTGCTATCAGATATTCTTGAACTGGGTGATCTCCAAGGTCCTTGCATGGACCTTGTAAGTAGTGAGGTCTTCTCTGGATTGTACTATTGGAGGGCTGTGTTGGAAAACCAAAGTGGGAAACTATGAATATTGTGATCCATCCATCCATCTATCCACCTACCCAATCATTCTGTCTATTCATCCATCCATCCATTATATTTGTCTGTCTATCCATTCCATCCGTCCTATCCTTCCATTCATCTACCTGTTCATTCTACATATCTATTCAACCATCCATCAATCCATCCGTCCTGTATAACTCTCAGTCTGTCTCTTGTCTATTCCATCCATCCATCCATCATATCCATCCATCTCCTTCATTCTTTCTCTCTGTCCATTCATCCACTATGTCTGTCGGCCTGTCTGCCTATCTATCTATCTGAAATATTTCCAAGCCACCTTCTGACACAAAACACACCCCGGTGTTAGGAAAGCAAGATATAATCTCTTTGCGATTTTAAAACCTCTGCTCCAAAAGAAAGTCGGGGCAACCATTTCTGAAGGGAAGGGCTTCTTGACTGGGATAAAATCATGAAGACAGGAAAGCTTTGGGCCAGACTAATCACGCACGGCCCAAAGTCATGGCTGCCTCAGTGGGGACACCCCAAGGAAAGCTCCACTCTTAGTTAGATGTTGCCATTGTTAGAAGTGATAGACCAGGGGTAGTCAACCTTGGCTCTTTTATGACTCATGGACTTCAACTCCCAGAATTCCTGAGCCAGCCATGCTGGCTCAGGAATTCTGGGAGTTGAAGCCCACGAGTCATAAAAGAGCCAAGGTTGACTACCCCTGTGATAGACCTTCAAGGATTTGATGTTGATACCCGCCCAGTAACAGCTTCCATCTGACCTTATCCGATCTTGAAAAGCTAAACCAGGTTGGATTTGATTCCTTATTTAGATGGGGGAGCCCATAAAACTAG